ATAGGTCGATGCTCAACCACTGAGCCACACTGGGCAGGCTGGATTCTGTTTTTCTTAACAGTATATCAGAAGCATTTTTAGGGGATGTTAAAAAAACAACAACACCTCTGAGCTATTTTAAATGTTTTATTCCAGTGGAACAGTCTGCAATGATAGAAATGTCCTATAAGTGGTGTCCAGTATGGTAGCCACTAATCACGTGGCTGTTGAACACGTGAAATGCTGCCGGTGTGACCGAGGAACCAAACTGTAATTTTACTAAGGACTCACATGCGGCTGGTGACTACGGTATTGGGCTGTGCGGGGCTGTAGACTAGGTGATGGGTCGGCCTGCCTGGACTTGAATTCCCAGCTGCTCCAGACCTCGATCAATTTGCTTAAACTCTGGGAGACTCTGTCTTTGTATCCGTTAAGGAGAGGTGGCTGTAATAGCATCTCTGCTCCTGGTCCCAAGGACATTGCTGATGCCAGTAGTTGTTAGGGATTTCTGGCATTTCTTGGCTGAAAATCTCAAATGCTTGTTTTCTGTCACTGAAGTTAAAAGTCAGTCATGGCTCAGTGGACAGAGCGTCGGCCCTCGGACTGAAGGGTCCTGGGTTCAATTCCAGGCAAGGGCATGTACCTCGGTTGCAGGCTCAGTCCCCGTCTCTGGTTTGGTGCAGGCAGGAGGCAACCAATTGTTGTTTCTCTCTCTTGGTCCCTCCCCCTGCCTGCCACTCTCTCTAAGAATCAATGGGAAAATACCCTCAGGTGAGGATTAACAACAACAACAGAAAATCAGGTGTGTCCTCAGCATTTACAGGGTGGGACAAAAGTAGGGTTACAGTTGAGTACACAAAACAGTTTATTCTTACATTACTATTTATTATTTTATTTCCATACAAACTGTCAACCTCCTTTTCCCCCACGCTGTATATTTATGGAATGCTTTTATTCACAACCCAATTCTCTAAGTTTAGGCTTATGTAATCGTTAATTCAGGCAACTTTGCTAGCACATAGCATCAAAGTTTTAAATTATTTAAGATCGTTGCTATGGTCCTACAGAGGTGGTGAGGGACAAGGGATAGAGAAGAGTAGCTTCTCATTAAAATAGATACAACAGAAGGAAAAATCTTTCGAATCTTCACAGTCCTTTTAGAACAGTTTTTGTTACAATGAGGTTGCAATAAAAGCGAACCCTTTGCAAGTAATTCCTTCTGATTGCATTGCACGCAGCGCAGAGTGGCCGGCTTATCAGCAGGTTCAGTCACTTACAGCAGCTTTCAGATCTCGTGGGATTGGCAGATTGTTAATGGTGGGAGTTGAGTGGTGCGGACATGAGGGCTTATTGCTTTGCTTATGTTTGAAATTTTCCAGAAGAATGTTTTTAAGAGGTTACGTTTTTTTGCTCTAAATTAGACTTAATTGACTAAAAGTTGGACTGTGAAATAAATGCTTTCTGAAAATGTCTTTAAAAAAATAACTTGGCTTCTAAAGTAAGAAAAGTTCTTACTATAAATATAAAGAATTTAACTTTGTTTTTCAGATACAGTGCAGTAAACTCGAACAGGAAATTCAGTCTGCAACAGAAGAAACAGAACTCTTCTATAACCGAGGGGTGTAGGGCTGAGTTCCGGGTGCACTTGTTTGATTCCTGCTTGGAAAGCTTCCTCTCGAGGTTTTAGTTTCGAGAACTGCCAGAGGTCTCCTGGGAACCCCGAGGTGTCTGCAGACAGGATGGCTTCCAGCCACACACGCCAGGACCTAGTCGAGGCCGGTCGTGCCTGGGCTTCCAGCCTGGGTGGGAGAAGAGACGCGGGGAGCTGTCCTGTCTGACCTGCCTCCCCACCGGGACTGCTGAGGGCTGGGTGGTGGAAGGTCCCTTTCCTGTGTGCCAGCCTGTGAGCGGGCAAGGTGAGGTTACTAATAAACTGGTCTGAAGTTGAGTATTGGAGAAAAGAAAGATCCACGGAGCCCAGGGCACAGGCATTCCATGGATAGCTCATCTCAGGGTAAACGTGAACCTGGGGTGAGCTGGTGAAGGCCTCCCACCCCAGAGCAACCCTGTTCCCCCACTCGGCCCACTCCCATTTGGACGGCTACCTGAAAGCTACCATCGCCTCCCAGCTCCTTCCTTTTCCTCACTGGCAAGCAGCCCTGTCTCCTGCTTCGCAGGAAAAAGCACGGCTCTAGGCAGCCATGGAACCTCTGGCACCAAACCTGCAGGCCCTCCACCCGCACCCCGCTCCCCTCCTGCATGCAAAGTCACCCTCTGCTTCTTCCCAGTAACATTTAAACTGCTTGACTCACTGTCTCATTAAAAAAGCAAACCCCCGCCCCGGCTGGGGGGTCAGTTGGTTGGGGCGTCTTCCCAAACACCAAGAAGTTGTGGGTTGGGTCCTCAGTCAGGAGGCAGCCAATCGATGTTTCTCACATCAGTGTTTCTCTCTCTTCCCCTTCCTCTCTCTCTAAAATCAGCAGACATATCCTCAGGTGAGGAAAAAAAGAGAAAGCAAAACCCTCATTCGTAGCCACTTTTTCAAATACTGTCTACCCTCCCTGTTCCCACCCCTCCTTCTACTCTGCTGAGACTGCGGTCAGCCATGCCCCCAAACTGCACGGACACTGCTGGCTGCTCGACCAGCCTGTGGGCGTGTTTATTGTGCCTGGCCATAGGCTCTCACCCAGCTGCCCCCTGCACTTTTGGGTGCCCACTTGAGGCCTCCCAATCTCAGGAAGTGGAACAGTTGCATCAGACAGGATCACTGGCGTCACCCTGACTGCACCCTCCCTGCTCTCCCATTCAAGTCATCTCCAGAACTCTCCTGGCCACTGCTACTGCCAGCTCAGTCCAGCAGCACCCCCTGCTGGTAACACTCGCCTTATTTCTATCTGGCTCCTGTCCAGGCTCCAGCTGGCTCTTCGACACCACACCGGCTTAATAGCTTTCAGTGGGTTCTCGGCACTTCAGGATCAAGTTCAAATTCCTTGCCATGCAGGCAAGGAACCCTACTCATCTCTTGCCGCTCCCTTTCTTCACTCTGAAGTAACATCCAGATCCTCAGAGGCCGTGTTTTCTCTGCTCTGGGCCTTCACACCTACTTTCCTCTGCTCTGGATTAACTCCTACTTATGCTTCAGGTCTGACTTGGACTTCAGTCACTCCCTCCAGGAAGCCTTCCAGGATTCCCAGTGCTGAATCAGGTGCCTCTCCTGTGCTCCCAGCACTTGTGTCTAACACTTGCCACACCACAGTGCAGTGGCCTGTGTGCAGACCCAGTGCCCCTGTAGACTGTCCCTTGAGAGCAAGAACTGCCTTGTGCATCAAGGGAGCCCTAGGGTGCACAGTGCACTGTGCAGAGTAGGTACCCAAACATTTGCATCCTGGAGGAATGTTTCCAACATACCCTGCCCGAATCATCAAAGGATGTATCTGGCTTTCAGTTTTCCCTGGGCCAGAATGATGCTTATCTCCAAATTTGATAAAAAGGTTTCACAACAGCCTAAAAGGATAAAATTAGTTAAATTGATTTACCAGATCTCAGTGTAGCCCCAGGCTTACACTAAACAAAAGAACAAAATGTACAAAGGCTCCGGATGAAGGCTCACCCACTACACAAGAGAGTGGAAAAGTGAGGGCATCTTTTCAAGGAGACGCCTTGAAGTTGGTTGCTCTAGGAACAGGCAATGGAGGCCGTACGGGTGGGAGGAAAGGAGCCTGGACCCCCTTCACTTTCAAAGAAGTCTTTTAATAACCCCCCAGCACACCTGCACTTGGAAGGTTTTGCTTTTTTTGGAGTGGAGAGAATTAGAGAAAGGACACAATATTTCATCTACCTAAATATGGTTGAATATCAAAATATTTCCATTTTATTTCTGCATCATACATTTGCAATTTTAACAACTTTGATTAGCTAATGCAGTAATACAAAAATGAGGGAGAAAAAGATGTTAGTATTCCTTTTCAGATCCACCCTTACCCAAGGAGGAAGAGAAAGGGCTATTTTAAACTTTTTACTTAACAAATGAAAGATCCTATAAAGACAAGATTTTTTGCAAACATTTTTTTCTGGGTAAGATTTCCAAGGACAACAGGACTGACTGTAAAATAACCTTTCAGAGTTAACATGAATACATACAATAAAATAACAAGGACATAACTTAGACCTCCCTGCTTATTTTGCAATTTTTAGGTCTCCTATGATGAGAAAGGTACACAGCTGAACAGGAACAGGAACTTCTTATGTGGCCAAGTCACTTTTTACTGGAGTTACTTGAAGAACTCTGGTTTTTGCCCTTGCAGGCAGTTAATTCTTACACTCCCTTACCAATCATGAAAGTTGCTAGTTCAGTTATAGACACTGATATTCAAAGTGGGCTGCTTGTTTTTCTCTGCTGTATAAGGACTGGCATCTTTCAAAGTAATATTGCTAGCAACAAGGTGAATTGAAGAGCACTGATGGCTTCAGCTTGCCAAATGCTTACCTCTGAGACAGTATAAATACAAATTATTGAAGTTGTCTACTCAAGTATAAAATCTATGCAAAACCCTCATAATATAGGTAAAATGGTCAAAGGCCAAGAAAAAAAAATTTTTCCTTTTACAAGAAAGTGCAACTGCAGGGTCTTTTGAATTATCTTCTAGACCAGTGGTTCTCAACCTTCTGGCCCTTTAAATATAGTTCCTCATGTGGTGACCCAACCATAACATTATTTTCGTTGCTACTTCATAACTGTAATGTTGCTACTGTTATGAATCGTAATGTAAATATCTGATATGCAGGGTGGTCTTAGGCGACCCCTGTGAAAGGGTCGTTCGACCACCAAAGGGGTCGCGACCCGCAGGTTGAGAACCGCTGTTCTAGACAGTCCTGCAGAAAACTTAGTAGTTTGGCTCAGAAAGTACAGTTCCTCGTGAGGAATTAAGGTTCTTCCTAGAAGAATACAAAGCAACATTTCAGGCAGCTTTCTGAAAATAAATCATTCGTTTGTGGCGACATAATGAGACAAATGGGAACTTATCACGGAGGCTTTCGGATCTGCTGTGACTTACACGAGAACTCGACAGAACTTTTTTCTCACTCCAGCCCATCAGGTCATTTTATAACTTATTTACGGTAGTTACAGCACTTGTCCAACATGGATGACAGGTGTGAAACTAATCAGATAGAGAAAATCAAGTGTTTTGCTATGTTTCAGTGCTTTTCAGGTCAAATCTCAATACTTTCAAATAAATCATTAAAATATACCATTTTCTTTGTTATTTTCAGTATTATACATAGTTAGTGGGTGATCGTGTCCTCAGTGATACCATCCTGACAGTCAGATTTTCAGCATTTGCTCGGCTGCTGCCAGGTGGTACAGAAAGTTTTCTGTCGCTGGTGGGAATCGTCTTTGCTTTAGAGCAAATATGCAATACATTAGCACTGAAAAATGAGTAGTTTGTTGCATTTTAACGGAATTCTTCCTGCTATTTTTTAAAGTATATCAAATTAACTTTATAAATTAGAAAAAGTGAAACAAAGTTAGATTAACAGAAAAATCAGTATCACGGATAATTTTTTCTGCCTCTGAATTTACCTATTTGGGTACCTCATAGAAGTGGGATCATACAATATATGTCCTTTCGTGTCTGGCTATTTCACTTAGAATGTTTCCAAGGTTCACCCATGCCTTTTAATAATATTCCACGGTTCCTATACACCACACTGTGTTTGTCCATTCACCCATGGATGTACATCTGGCTATTTTCACCTTTTTTGGCTGTTAGCAGTGCTGCTATGGACACGGGTGTACAAATATCTGAGTCCCTGTTTCAATTCTTCTTGATAAACACCCAGAAATGAATTGCCGATGTATGGTAATGCTACGGTTAGCTTCCGGCGGAAACCTGCTATCGTTTCTAGAACAGATCTCCTGCCTGGGATAAGAAACCCAGCGCCTGCCACCTGGGCTTTATTCCTCTTCACCGACTCACATTCCTTTGGAGGGCTGAGGCCTCCCCAGAGCTCACATCAAAGTCATGTCCTTTTCTTGGTCTGCTGACATCATTAACCTTTCCAATATTTTTGGCCCTGGCCAGTGTGGCTCACTTGGTTGGAACGTTGTCCTGTACACTGAAAGGTCTCGGGTTAGATTCCTGGTCAGAGCACAGACCCGGGTTGTAGGTGGGATCCCTGGTTGATCCATGTTTCTCTCTTCCTCCCTCCCTTTCTTTCTCTCTCTTTAAAAATTCAGTATAAACGCCGAAACCGGTTTGGCTCAGTGGATAGAGCGTCGGCCTGCGGACTGAAAGGTCCCAAGTTTGATTCCGGTCAAGGGCATGTACCTGGGTTGCGGGCACATCCCCAGTAGGAGATGTGCAAGAGGCAGCTGATCAATGTTTCTCTCTCATCGATGTTTCTAACTCTCTGTCCCTCTCCCTACCTCTCTGTAAAAAATCAATAAAATATATTTTAAAAAAAATTCAGTAAAAACATATCCTCAGGTGAGGATTAAAATATATCCTATATAATAAAAGCCTAATATGCAAATCGACCAAACAGCGGAACGACCAGTGGAACTATCGGTTACTATGGGACCCCGATCACCCCACTGGTCACTCCACAGATCAGCCCTGATCGCTGGCCAGGCCATGAGACCCTACCCATGCACCAGGCCTCTAGTGTGTGGTTGTGTGTGCGTGTGTGTGTATCCCTACAACATGCCGGACACATTCATTATACATTATACTGAGTAATCTTGTATCACTTTTAGTCCACTGAAAAACACTAATTCAAAACTCAAATTTACATATTGCACCAACTCTGCAATGTAGAGTCAATATTTTTACTGTAATGTTGACAGAGGGATGGATGGGCAGCTCCTCGGGACAAAACCCACCCACTCTTCCTGTCCAGCTGGACGGGCCACCAGCACTGAACATAAAGAACAGCGCTGCTGACAGGTCCCCGGCAAAACCTGTGGGCCCCCTCGCCCTTCAGCACCCTCTAGCTCACGTCACTTTCTCCGAGAGCCATCTGATCCCTTATCTGTTATACCTCAGCCCCTTGTTTCTGTCACAGCATTCATTTATCGAGGCTCACAATGATCTTCTTATATTATTTTCTCTTCATCTACGCTAAAATACTCGCCACTGCCCTGCCCTGTGCAATGCCTGACATAGTCGTTGCTCGATAAATATCACTTCAGTAAATGAATGGAGAAAAGAGCTAGGTGCAACAAGAAGAGTAGGGCCTTCACAGCAGATGAGGCCCCGAGGTGGGGTTCAGACGGGGAGACCATCATTCCAGGCCCCTGGCCCCCCAGCATCAGAGACAGGGGGTCAAGTGTATTCTGCAGAAGAGGAGCAAGTTGCTGGAAAGGGACACAATGCACACTGGCAGCAGACAGGGGCGGAGGCCGCCGAGCTGCGTGCAGAGGAGGGGCTTACACCACATGGAGAGGCGTAAATAAATAATTTGACCCTGGCCGAGTAGTTGTTGGTTAGAGCATCGTCCTGATACAACAAAGTTGCGGGTTCGATTCCCCGGTCAGGACAAAACAAGAATCAACCAATGAATGCCTAAATAAGTGGAACAACAAATCAATCTCTCTCTCTCTCTCTCTCTCTCTCTCCCTTACCCCCTCTCTCTAAAATCAATTAAAAAGTAAAAAACAAAAACCATTTGCCATCCCGATCTGGCGAGGGAGAGGGTCCACATGGCACCGTTGCCAGCTGCCAAGTAGAGCACAGAGGAGCTAGCCCTGTGCATGCGACACCAGTCTGCTGAGCTTGGCAGGGTCTGCATTTTCAGTGTCCTGGAGACGTCACATCAAAGCTGGATTAGGACACTATCTGGTTCCCTGTGCTCAGCAGCACCCTTCTCTGTACAATTTGTTTCTCCATGAAAACTCTGCTAGAGGAGAGAATGCACTGGCCAGTCCAGAACATCATTCCAGACCACTTAGAAGTTATACTTCTCACCATGCTTGGCTTCGGCACCAGCCCAGCCCCTCCCCCACTAAAGATCTTATCCTCAGAGACTGATAGCTGATTGGCTATGGCAGCCCCCACCTATTCAATTCCAGCAGGTCCATCTGCAAACCTTCATGAGCATCTGCCCACTGGTCTCTCCCAGTCACTTCCCTCTGTCACGTGCACAGCAGGTAAGGAGCAGCTCTGCGCACGACCCAGCAACACGGGTCAGGAACGGAGTAAGTCGTCGGGGTAAGGAGTTACCTGTATAACTTGGCTGTCCGATTTCTCTGGATCTTCTGCAGACTGAACAATTAGATGACCAATCTCTTTGTGCAGTTTGCCCATTGTCATGGCCTCTGGTGAGATTAAGAATATGTTGTGTGAATACTTAGAAGTTTAAATAATAAAAAACAGCCTGACCAGTTTGGCTCAATGGATAGAGTGTCGGACTACAGACCAAGGGGTCTCGGGTTCGATTCCAGTCAAGGGCATGTACTTTGGTTGCAGGCTCCTCCTCGGCCCGGCCCCTGGTCAGGATGAATGCAGGAGGCAACCAATCGATATGTTCCTCTCACATCAATGTTTCTGTCTCTCTCCCACTCTCTCTAAAAATCTGGAAAAATACCCAGGAGTGAGTATTAAGAATAATAATAATAGCCCTAAACGGTTTGGCTCAGTGGATAGAGCGTTGGCCTGCAGACTGAAGGGTCCCAGGTTCGATTCTGGTCAAGGGCACATGCCTGGCTTGCAGGCATGATCCCCAGAAGGGGGCGTGCAGGAGGCAGCCATCAATGATTCTTTCTCATGATTGATGTTTCTATCTCTCCCTCTCCCTTCCTCTCTGAAATCAATAAAAATATATATATTTTTTAAATCAATAAATATTTTTAAAAAATAATAATAAATAATCATGCCATCTATCTGAAAATCTGAAAGATCAAACAGGGAATTTTCAAAAAGCAACTGACGCAGAGCTATTTGAGATCTTGCTTCCAGGTATATGTTGTCAGTTTGGTTCAAATAAAAATCTTATAAAAAAAATAAAAGCAACTGACAAACTCCCCCAACCCCCCGATTTCCTTCTTCTTGCTAAACACATGCTGGGCGGTAAAAGGCATAGTCATGATTTACATACTTTGTGTCCACAATAAAAACACACTAATACTAAACCAAATTTCTCCTTCATACCTACCTGATAAAGGTTTTTTAAAAATATATATATATATTTTATTGATTTTTACAGAGAGGAAGGGAGAGGGATAGACAGTTAGAAACATCGATCAGCTGCCTCCTGCACATGTCCTACTGGGGATGTGCCCGCAACCAAGGTACATGCCCTTGACCGGAATTGAACCTGGACCTTTCAGTCCGCAGGCTGATGCTCTATCCACTGAGCCAAACCGGTGCTGGCCCTGAAAAGGTTTTTATTTTTCTCTAGACAGCACCTGATGAAAGCTTCTGACTACACATAAGTTGCCAAGAGCCTGACTTTCCTGTCCAGGTCTTTACAGTTAGGAATTCACGTTTATCTTTCTGGCAGGAATATTGTGAAAGCGCTTCCTGACAGTCCCGCGGAAGCCCTGAACATTCAGTGTTGGCAAGGCCCTCAGAACGGAGCGGAGAAAACCACCTCCGTTGCATTACTTAGAGGCAGCGCTACTCTCTGCAGCAAGGAGAGAAACAATTTTGTCACCCAAGGGACAAACGTGAATGGTGCTGACCAGGGTGAGCCCATTTTACAGACTCAGAGCAACATGGCAGCAAGGAGGTGGCCACCCTGTCAGCAATTTAAGTGGCCCGGCCGCAGCTAGTTTTCTGTCACTTTTGCTTGAAGGTAGTATTGCCTAAAGATGATTTTATATTAAAATTTTTGACCATGAGCATGCATTATGTTTGCAATTTTAAAACAAACGAAAGAAAGTAGTTCTGGTTCTAACAAAGTCCCTCATCAGCCAGCACTCAGCTATTCCTACTTTCAGGAGAAAGATACATAAATGACAACAGAAAAGCTGCCCCAGGAATTCCCACCTATAACCAGCACCTCAGAAGTGCCTGGGCACATGCACAGTTAACTCAACCTTTACCATTTTATGCAGCTACAATCTGGGACAATTTCGCTTCCAGAGATGACACTAGAACACCCTTTCTTTTTTTTCTTTTTTTTTTCAAAATATATTTTATTGATTTTTTACAGAGAGGAAGGAAGAGGGACAGAGAGTCAGAAACATCCATCAGCTGCCTCCTGCATACTCCCCACCGGGCATGTGCCCGCAAGCAAGGCACATACCCCTGGCCGGAATCAAACCTGGGACCCCTGAGTCCGCAGGCCGACGCTCTATCCACTGAGCCAAACCGGCCAGGGCTAGAACACCCTTTCTTGATTGTAGCTCCAAGAATTCTTTCACTTCCTGGCTTACTGAGACATCCTTCGCACAGATTTTCCACAGAGGATCACAGCCAACCCTTTTGCAGTGACAAATGTCCCCACGTTCTTTAATAATGTTTCCTTCAGGAGGTGCGGCCTGTTTTCTCTCCCTTAGTGGGACTCGACTTAATGGCTTGCTTCTGACAAATAGAATATGGAGGAAGTGATGTGTGACTTCTGAGACGAGGTCATAAGGGCACTGTGGTCTCCTCTCTTCTCTTGGGAAGCCAGCAGTCAGGTCATGAGAACACCCAAGCTGCCCAATGGAGAGGCCCACGTGCAAGGCTCCTGCCAACAGCCATGTGTTAGCTGGAAGTGCAGCCTCTTGCCCCAGCTGAGCCTCAGATAACTGCAGCCCTGGCACTACGCTGAGTGAAAACTCATGAGAGCCCTTGCGCCAAAACCTCCCCGTTAAGTCAGTCCTGAGTTCCTGTCCCACCAAAACTGTGAGATAAATATTTGCTGTTTTGAATCACTAAGTTTAGAACGGATTTGTTATACAGCAATAGATAATATACCTTGTGTAAATATAAAGTGGAGAAACAGATGAAGACTATCTTACTAACATATACTGTGCAGCATAAGCATTGAGGATTACTATTAACACTAGAGGCCTGCTACATGGATTCATGCACCAGTGGGGTCCCTCGACCTGGCCTGTGCCCTCTCCCAATCCGGGATCCCTCAGGGGATGTCGGACTGCCGGTTTCGGCCCAATCCCTGCAGGCCAGGCTGCGGGACCCACCGGTGCACAAATCCGTGCACCGGGCCTCTAATATGCATATAAGATCTTTGGTTAATCTCTTCCCCCACCCCCCACCCTCTGAGATTCATCAATCTGTTCCATGTTTTCATACCTATGCATGGAGCATCTGCCCTCTGGTGGTCAGTGCACATCATAGCTACCGGTTGAATGGTCGCTTAGGCTTTTATATAGATAGATAGATGGCTATGCCTATAAGAATAACTGCTGTGTTCTAGACACACAAATCCCTCCAGCAGTTAAGCAGGCTCAAATGCTGGTTTTAGAGAATCAGTCTAAAAAAATACAACTGATTGGCTTACATCTTGTATCAACAACAGAACAGAACAGAAAACTAACCTTTCGCAAGTGGGGCAATGGTAATCTCACTGTCGGCCAGATTCACAAACACATCATACAGGTCTGCTCTATTGCTCACCTCCGAGTCTACAAATCCGGCGATGTAACCTGTGTTAGAGATGGAGTACGAAGAAATCACACTGTGAACACATCAAGAGAACTGAGTCTAAAAAGCTCACCAGCTGCTGCTTTTCACTGCTTTACTTATTCAGGGCACACTAGCTGTGCCCTGTGGCATTTACTAAGACTACGTTATTGTCAGTTGCCTGAAGAAACTCACAGAACTCAAAATGTTCCAAAGCCAAACTTCAGTGTCAACAAAGGAGAATGCTTTTGGGGCAAAAATGACAGACGAGGCAGAAGGTAGCAAGGATGCTTTTGATCAGCGTTCCCCCTGTGGGTCTTTGTCTTCAAGGTGTCATAGCCAAACACCCAGGTTTCTCAGGGAAAGTGGGTGAAAACAGTATCATCATCATCATCTTTCACCAATTTCAGAACTGACACAGGAAGTGCTAAAGGAATCAGGGCAACTCCAGAATTAGCAGACCTTTGGAATTGGTGTGAAGATAACAATTCCCAGACTTTTCATATTTCTTTAAAAATATGGTTTTATTGGTTTTCGAAAGAGAGGAAGGGAGAGGCCAACATCAATTGGTTGCATCCTGCATGCCCCCTACTGGGTATCAAGCCATCAACCTGGGCACATGCCCTGACTGGGAATGGAACCAATGACCTCTTGATGCCTGGGACAATACTCAACCAACTGAGCCATACCAGCCGGGCATACAAATATAATAACAGCACTTAAAAATAATTTTATTATTTCCTTTAAGGAAAAAATATAACAAGGCTCATGTTATACTCTAAATCAAATCACTGATAAGGAAACTTTAAGACTTGACAAATTAAGAACAAGTTATATTTTGACGATGGCTGCATAACAATGTGAATGTACTTAATGCCACTGCACTACACACTTAAAACTGATTAAATTGAGCCCTGGTCAGTGTGGCGCAGTTCGTTGAGCATCATCCCGTACAATGAAAGTTTTGGGATTCCCAGTCGAGGTGTGTGTGGAAGGCAGCAGGTCGATGTCCTCTCCTATGATGTTTCTCTCTCATACCCCTGCCCATTCCCTCTCTCTGGAATCAATAAACATAGCTGCTCTGCCAAGTGAGAACACAAATGGCTGCTGGCCTGCCCCTGAGAGACTCAGCTTGCCCTCTGCCCTCTTCTTCGGGGGAGGAACTGGGTATTAGAGGTAGAGGGGAGAACCAGCCCTCAACGGGCCAACAGCTCCAGGCTTTAAATGAAAGTAACGCAATGTTTTAAACTGCTTTTTAGCTACAAAAAACTCAAGGTGGAGTTTCAAAAGAAACTTGGCAAAGAGAAACGCTTCAAAGGTTTTCCTCCAAACATCCTATGCTGCAGACTGCCATGGAGAGGGAGTCTCTGATCTGAGGGTACAATCTGGGCTGTCAGAAAAAAGATAAATAAATTTTTTTTAAATCTTCTTTTTATTAAATACTAGAGGCCTGGTGCACAGATTCATGCACTGGTGGGGTCCCTCAGCCCGGTCTGTAGGGATCGGGCTGAAACCAGCTCTCTAACATCCCCCGAGGGGTCCTGGATTGTGAGAGGATGCAGGCCAGGCCAAGGGACCCCACCGGTGCACAAATTCATGCACCATGGCTCTGACATTCCCTGATGGGTCTGGGGTGCGAATGAAGCAGATTCAGGGCAGACAGTGCCCCAACAGCAACCTAAACTACAGCCAATTCAGCAAGGAATCGGGCTCCCTCCTCTACTGGTTGGAGCATCTGCCCCTGGTGGTCACTGCATGTCATAGCTATTGGGAGAACAGTTGGACGGTCACTTAGGCTTTTATATAGACAGATGTTTTTATCGATTTGAGGGAGAGGGAAGAAGAGAGGAGGGAGGGAGGGAGAGAAAAACATCATGCTGCCCCTGGTGGTCACTGCATGTCATAGCTATTGGGAGAACAGTTGGACGGTCACTTAGGCTTTTATATAGACAGATGTTTTTATCGATTCCAGGGAGAGGGAAGAAGAGAGGAGGGAGGGAGAGAGGGAGAGAAAAACATCAATGTGAGAGAGAAACATTAATCAACTGCCTCCTGCACACCCCCTACTGGGGATCTAGCTCACAACCTGGGAATGTGCCCTTGACTGGGCGTAGAACCAGTGACTTTTTGGTACATGGGATATCGCTCAACTAACTGAGCCACCTGGGCCAGGGTGCAAAAAAATTTTTGAAGTCTCTCATTTCATACTTAATTCCAGTCAAATATGAATCTGTGTACCAGGCCACTAGTTTATTATAAATATAAGAGAAGAGTGTGGTAAAACCGAACAGAAAAACAACTTACTAAACAGGGGTTAGGAAACTATGACCCACAGATAGTTCCTGTCTTTACACATAAAGTTTTATTGAAACAGCCATGCTCATTCACTTACGTAGGTACCCATAACAGTTGAGTAGTTGGGGCAGAGCCCATAAGGCCTACAAACCTAAAATATTTCCCCTCTGGCAAAGAAAATTTTGAAAACTCCCTGCTCTAAAATATTCATATTTCTAAAATTAAAGACGAGTCTGTCCAAATTCAGTGACCTTGAATTGCTAAATAAATCTAAACTGGATCATTAGACCAAAACGGTACTTCAACCTCCAGCCAACATATTCTATTTTTACCAAATGTGCAACAGAACAGAGCATACAGTAACACAAAGTGTCCTAAACTACCCACCAACAACATTACACTGTTCAATGATTAGAGGGAATACCTGGTAAACTCCTGGACAACTTCTATTTTGGGGTGGTAGACGACAATTCTTTTCTTTAGCATCAGTGCTGTGTGTAAGATAACTGTTTCCATTCCAAACTGAGATACAATGTCTTAAAACAAAAGAAATTATAGCATTACTACATTAAATATTAAGAAAATAAAGTTTTGATTGGAAAGAACTCTTATCACATGAATTCAAAATTATTTTTAACACAGGGAATAAATTTCAATAAATGCTGTAAGCACAGAAGTATCTTATCTGATGGATGGGCATTTCAATCCATACATCTGCTCCAGGGTGGGCGTCACAGCTGCCTACACCTGTCCGCCCAGGGACTCTATGCTGGACACACACATAAAGCCACTCACAAAAAAGTGGAGTAATGGTACAAAGGGAACCAGCACTGTCATAAAAACTCCTTTTTTTGTTTTTGTCAATCCTCACCCAAGGACATTTATTCCATTGCTTTACAGAGAGAGTGGAAGGGAGTAAGAGGGAAAGGGAGAGAAACAGCAATGTGTGAGAGACACACCGATTTGTTGCATCCCACACATGCTCCCTGACTGGGTGGGCGTGGGAAGCAAACCCACAACCCCGTATGTGCCCTTGACATGCAACTGAACCCTCGACCATTTGGTTCCGGGGCTGACGCTCTAAGCACTGAGCGACCAGTCAGGGCAAAACTCAAGTTTTAAAAAATATTCACTGACCGGCCCCTCCCACCCACCTACATCATTACTTAAGTCCTTTGAGATAGCTGGGTGACACCTGGCACCTCCACAGGGATGCTTAGAAACCATACAGAACAGTGGCATGAGCAGTGAAGACAGGCAGGCGCTGTGGGAGGAGAGGAAAGGCTGGCGTTGCCCCTGAGTTCTCCTCTCCTCCCTTTCTTAAGAGCCCCGAAGTCTGTGGCTTTAGTCCTGGACTGTCCCTGCCATTTTGGATGTTCCAGGTAGGAGAAAAAGGCAGGGAGCTGGGCGAGAAGCCTGGGTCCAGGCCTGAGCGTCCAGATGGAAGAGGTAACTGCTCTGATTTAAGGAAAGAGCACTATGGAAGTCAGTGGAGCCCTGGAATGCAGCTTACTGGTGAAAAAACATTTCTATTTTTAAAGTCAGAATCTGTGCTTGCTTCGGCAGCACATATACTAAAATTGGAACGATACAGAGAAGATTAGCATGGCCCTTGCACAAGGACATGCAAATTCATGAAGCGTT